GGGGGGGGGGGGGGGGGGGGGGGGGGGGGCGGAGGGTAGTAGAAATGAAAGAGTGGGGGGGTGCTGGGGGTGTGAACCCCCTCCCCATAAAATATTTGAGAATTTTAAAATCAAAGAATGCTTTTAGACGAATATCTGGCTTGAGTTTCCCATCAAAAGAGAAACAGAAAAGATGGTTGCTGTGTCTTAACTGGGTTGTTTTTAAATCATATCAATCCTTTTTGTGTAGTTACTTACTAGTAACCTTGTCTTATAATTTTATTTGTACTATTTATTTCTTTTTTAGCTAATATATTAATTAATGAATATTTAAATAAAGCAGTCCAAATATGTGCCGGTACTTAGCGTCATAAAATGTAATGACATCATAATACTGACATGACACTGACATCATAACACTGACATCATAACACTGACATCATAACAATGACATCATAACAATGACATCATAACAATGACATCATAACAATGACATCATAACAATGACATCATAAAAATGACATCATAACAATGACATCATAACAACGACATCATAACAACGACATCATAACAACGACATCATAACAACGACATCATAACACTGACATCATAACACTGACATCATAACACTGACATCATAACACTGACATCATAACACTGACATCATAACACTGACATCTAAACACTGACATCTAAACACTGACATCTAAACACTGACATTATATACTGACTCATAATACGGACATCATAATACTGACATCATAATACTGACATCATAATACTGACTCATAATACTGACGTCACATACGGACTCATAATACTGACATCTCATACTGACTCATCATACTGACATCATATACTGACTCTTAATACTGACATCACATACTGACTCTTAATACTGACATCATAATACTGACATCATATACTGACTCATAATACATTCTGAATGAAAATATAATAAAATAAATAATAGTTAGAGGCTACATTTCTCTTCTATTATGTCACAAAAGTAACAAATGTCACAAAATTAACAAATGTCACAAAAGTAACAATTGTCACAAAGTAACAATTGTCACAAAAGTAACAATGTCACAAAAGTAACAATGTCACAAAAGTAACAATGTCACAAAAGTAACAATGTCACAAAAGTAACAAATAAGAAAATAACAAAAATTTCGATTTAAAGATAATACATGAAACGTGCACCATTAGTATGTGCATACTCCATTAGTATGTAAGCGCACCATTAGTATTTTCATGTACCATTAATTTGTGCATGCACCATTAGTATGTGCGTTCATTGTACATATTCATTTTCAGGACATGGAGAAATATATTTAGCAAGATTTTTTTTTCTACAAATAACATAATCTAAGGCATTGTTGAGAGGTTTTAAACACACACACACACACACACACACACACACACACACACACACACACACACACACACACACAAAGATTAATATTATTTGAAATAGAGTACTTTATCGAGATTTGCCTGAAATATTCGGATCATCAAATATATAAACCGCTAATTTTCATCGGTGAAATGTGCATACTCCATTAGTATGTATGCGCACCATTAGTATTTTCATGTACCATTAATTTGTGCATGCACCATTAGTATGTGCGTTCATTGTACATATTTATTTTCAGGACATGGAGAAATATATATAGCAAGATTTTTTTTTCTACAAATAACATAATCTAAGGCATTGTTGAGAGGTTTTAAACACACACACACACACACACACACACACACACACACACACACACACGCACACACACACAAAGATTAATATTATTTGAAATAGAGTACTTTATCGAGATTTGCCTGAAATATTCGGATCATCAAATATATCAACCGCTAATTTTCATCGGTGACAGTTGGGCATAACATTTAGAACCCTATTTTAAAATGTTTTAAAATAAAAATTAAGATATTTTTTAAACGGGCGCGCTTAATGTTATTGTTGTACTCAATGCTCTCCGGGGGGTGGGTGGCAAGGGGGTACTTGACTTGAAAGTCCCTCCCCCCACCCCCCTCCCCGGGAGAGAAGTCTGAAAAAACCCATTGATGTCGCCCGCGATCCGTAGTTTGTATGATCCTGGCTTTAAGTGTTCACTAGCAAAGTCTGCCTCATCACATCTCCTCTCCACGACACGTCTGCTCCACCAATCACAGCTGGTCTGCCTCATCACCTCTCCTCTCCACGACACGTCTGCTCCACCAATCACAGCTGGTCTGCCTCATCACCTCTCCTCTCCACGACACATCTGCTCCACCAATCACAGCTGGTCTACCTAATCACCTCTCCTCTCCACGACACGTCTGCTCCACCAATCACAGCTGGTCTGCCTCATCACCTCTTCTCTCCACGACACGTCTGCTCCACCAATCACAGCTGGTCTACCTAATCACCTCTCCTCTCCACGACACGTCTGTTCCACCAATCACAGCTGGTCTGCCTCATCACCTCTCATCTACACGACATGTCTCCTCCAACAATCACAGCTGTTCTGCTTCATCACCTCTCATCTACACGACATGTCTCCTCCACCAATCACAGCTGGTTTGCCTCATCACCTCTTATCTACACGACATGTCTCCTCCACCAATCACAGCTGGTCTAACTCATCACCTCTCCTCTCCACGACACGTCTGCTCCACCAATCACAGCTGGTTTGCCTCATCACCTCTCATCTACACGACATGTCTCCTCCACCAATCACAGCTGGTCTGCCTCATCACCTCTCCTCTCCACGACATGTCTTCTCCACCAATCACAGTTGGTCTACCTCATCAGCTCTCATCTATACGACATATCCCCTCCACCAATCACAGCTGGTCTACCTCATCACCTCTCATCTATACGACATGTCTCCTCCACCAATCACAGCTGGTCTACCTCATCACCTCTCACCTCCACAACATGTCTGCTCCACCAATCACGGCTGATGTGTTGATATCTTGTTTATTTCATTCACAGATAGCGAAGACTGACGACGAAATCTGCAGATAATCAAGATTTGGCTTCTGACGAGAACTTCCTCTACCCTGCTTTATGTTGGCCAACCACGTGATTAGACGAGAGAGGCGCGTCACGTGATCACAGAAGTGGAATCTCGAGTCGCCCACTCCTCATAAAAGACCTGACAAGTCTGGGCTTTAAAGGGAAACGGATAAAAACTTATCCGGCGAATTACGTCCCATTCTCGGCAACTGGTCGATGTGACGTCAGAGACCTTGGCAGACATCTCACAGGATTTAAAAAAGAAACAACGAAATTAGATGGAAAATTCAGGAATTTATTTAAAGACGTTCTAAAAATAGAACAGCTAAAAGCTTTCAATTTTTTGTTTTTTGGTTGTAGCGTGCTATTAAATAAATGAACACCATATCACGTGATGCAGGCCGCACACACAAAGACAGTCACTGCAGATTTCATGGCCAATAGAAAGTCAAGTTCGAACAGACCGTCACTTATGATGTTTGCGGTGAAGAATTTACGACACTGAGTTAACGACACAGAGAAAAATTCAACCATCAATGAATGACGTCACCCGGGGTCTAAAGCCAAACTTTTTGTTACGTCATCCACATTTGGACACAGTGATGTAATTTAGATACGTGTGACGTGTTATATGTCAAAGTTCTCTATAAACTATCAACTCTGTACACGTATTCCCTCGCGTTATGATTGGTTGTTCGTCGCTTCGGGCCGCGTGCTCTGTGCGATTCAAACCCACGTGATACACCATGATCTAAATGAATTGTTCGATACGCCATCAAAAGGAAACACGTAGCTATCCAGACCTTGAATGCTATGCAACCCCTTCCCTCCTTTTTCCTCCTTTTTCCTCCCCAAACCTCTTCCATTCTCAGGCTGTGACGTCGGATCTCTGAGACGTTTCCGGTGAAGACTCTTCCCCTATGAGACCGACAACAATAAATTACCGATGGGCTGAGGGCCAGGCTGCTCAAACTGGGTCATGAATTCTGTGCTCTTGCGTGAGTCAACACATCATCCATAACAGACTTGGTGCAGCGCCCATTTCGACAATACGCAGACGGCCATCTTGGTCTGGGAAAAAATTAACCCGATGGGAGACACATTTGTTCAATTATCTTTACAGTTACTTCCCCTCCCCAGCTCGTATTCTATGGGCTGACTAAATGACGTCTGCTGAAAAGCAATTTGCCAGCCTCATTGCTGACCAAACCCACCGCTAAATTACCCCCGCCTGCTGCCTGCAACATATGACGCATTTGTTTGCAATAACAGTGTAAGTTTAATTATTTTGTTTGTCTGCACTTTATTGCGTGTTGCCCGTTGCCATAATAAAGCCCTATTCGTAAGGATTCGGACCACAATGTGCGTAGAGAATGTTGTATGTTGCCTACGGGGATGTTGTATACGACAAACAAAGTGCCACTCAATATCGTTCCCCAATCTCGTAACGTCTGCACCGATCAGTGGGGGACCTTGACACTTTGTTGCAGCAACAACTCCCATGACACACATTGACATGTCCTGTGTGTGCTTTAGTTTACTGCGCGTGCGCTGAACTTCTCCTCCCCCCCCCCCCGGAAGTATGCTTTTGCGCCCTCTGCCATGCAGATACGGAACAGATATGATCGCCATCTTGTATTCACCATGGAGATCCAACCCTATTTGTTGCAGCAACAACTCCCATGACCCACATTGACATGTCCTGGGTGTGCTTTAGTTTACTGCGCGTGCGCTGAACTTCTCCCCCCCCCCCCCCCGGAAGTATGCTTTTGCGCCCTCTGCCATGCAGATACGGAACAGATATGATCGCCATCTTGTATTCACCATGGAGATCCAACCCTTGTCGCGTCATCTTGCTCATCCGGTTCCAGATCACGTGTTCGATCCTCGCCATTCTCTTCACACTGCTGCCGACTCTGGGACTGTCTCACGAGCAAACTGAAGGTCCGGACATTGCCGTGGAGATCAATTCCAGCGGTTACTCCGCCAACTCATCAAACGCCGAACAGAATATTCAAATTATAAACATAACCCAGAGAATTCTTCCCAACAATGGAACGAAAGTTGCGGATCAGACGAAGCCCGCAGAAACTGTTTACGTCCCGAGAGAGTTCGATAGCGAGATTCCCCGAGAATATCCAACAGCTCTCGTGATAGCCAGCTCCGTGGCCGCTGTGAGTATTCTGGTGTTTTTCTTCCTGGCGTACTGCTGGCACACTCACCAGCTGGACAGCCGGGCCAGAAAGCTGGCCATCCGTTTGGCTGCCGATGCCGAGCAAGGCATGAGAAGGCGAAACTGTCCAGCCCAGTCCAGAGTCAGGGAGGGGAGGTCGGTGTCCCGGCCCGTGTCCGAGGCGTCGCCGGACAGGAATCATTATGAGGCGTTGACGATGGAGGACGACCCCGGTCACGGCAGCGACTGTGGGCGTAGCTCCAGGGGCGTGTCTGAGAGCGATGCCGGTGACAGTGAAGATCTGTTCATGCCATCCCAGCTCCAAGGACTCGGTGACAGGGGGAGGAGCTTAACAAGAAGTGGGCGTGGCGGGCACCGGAAATGGAATAGGTCAAGAAAGCATTCGTCAGGGGCGAATCTGGATAAACGAGATTCGGCCGTCACTGACAAGGAAATTTTAACACATTTTGCTAGTCGACGTCATTCCACGTTTTTTATTTAAAGTTTTGTGATATCTTATGAGCTAAATCTACACCACTGACAGCGTTAGAACCACGGTATGAAACAGCGGTATTTAATTTTTATGACATCCTATAAGCTAACAATTATTTTTTTTATTTATTGTATGCCATCTCTAAATTGTTATAAAAACATTTTCCCCTTGCCATCAGAACTTTCACTATGATATAATATTCATCACTATCTTTGCAACTAATGTCATGATGTCTTAAATCAAATGATGAACATTTTAAGTTAAACAAAAATAAAAGCCGACCTCAGAAATTCAATGACAATATTGGCGAAATCGAAACATTGATAAGACGACTTCTTCCATGAATGTATTCGCTCACATGAACTTCTTCTCAATCCTAGTCATTCCCATTCTCAACACTTTACCACGCCATCTTAGTCCTAACGCAATAATAAACCAATTTAACTTGTTCCTATGTGCAGATACTTGAGATACATTACAACCGATCTCCAATGGTCTCTGATTGTTTTTTCAACACGCCGAGTTTATCAACACGTTCTGAATCTCATAGTTACGCCCAATTATTAAATATATATATATATATTTTTTTAATAACCACGCCTACTCATCTTCTGAAATCTTTGAACAAGATGAAAACCATCGGTCTATCCGCAGTTGAAGGACTTTCTTGCCCTGATAAGACAGGAACAGTTGGGGACTTTCTTGCCCTGATAAGACAGGAACAGTTGGGGACTTTCTTGCCCTGATAAGACAGGAACAGTTGGGGACTTTCTTGCCCTGATAAGACAGGAACAGTTGGGGACTTTCTTGCCCTGATAAGACAGGAACAGTTGGGGACTTTCTTGCCCTGATAAGACAGGAACAGTTGGGGACTTTCTTGCCCTGATAAGACAGGAACAGTTGGGGACTTTCTTGCCCTGATAAGACAGGAACAGTTGGGGACTTTCTTGCCCTGATAAGACAGGAACAGTTGGGGACTTTCTTACCCTGATAAGACAGGACCAGTTGAAGGACTTTTTTGCCCTGATAAGACAGGAACAGTTTTCAAGCAGTGCAATGGTAGCCATGATGTCCTTCATGGGCCATCAGGCGATCAAACCAGGATACCTGTATTCCTAGAATTATAAGACAAAGACTCTGGAGCACTTAATGCTACAGTTGCGAGGGTTCTAAAATATTCGGGAATAAGTTAACATTTACTTGTTGTGGGGGGGGGGGGGGTGTAAATTAAATAGATCAATGCTTAGTTTGATCAAGATCACAATCCCTGGAAAAACCTATCAAACTATATTGTCACGTGAATGGTTTTGGTTGAAACTTGTTGTATAACTTTGACATCTTCAAATGTACCCCGAAATAAGTAGCCATATATTTGTTTTATTATACATTGGAGTAGTGGAGAAACAATTATTTTTTTTTAAAACTTTCTAAAATAAAATTGTAAGAAAGTGAAGCAGACCCCACCACATTCTCATTTTCATCAAGACGCCCTAGAGAGAGAGAGAGAGAGGGGGAGAGAGAGAGAGAGAGAGAGAGAGAGAGAGAGAGAGAGAGAGAGAGAGAGAGAGAGAGAGAGAGGGGGAGAGAGAGAGAGAGAGAGAGAGAGAGAGAGAGAGAGAGAGGGGGAGAGAGTGAGAGAGAGAGAGAGAGAACTTGGCAACCCTAAGTTTTTTTTGTTGTTTTTTTTTAGTTATTGCCTTTATCTGCCTACGTCAGTCCTTTTTATGCGTGCTCTCATGAGGAATGTTGCGGACATGTAATGTACGGTACTTCAGAATACGTGGACGAGAATCTGAACAACTTTAAAAGATTAAAAGGAATTATTACAGTGAGACTATTTCTGTGAAACATATTTCGGCTCTCTATAACAGTAATAACTATAATATTAATTATCTAGCGAAATTTCAGCTCAGATGCAATCAATGCCTTTCTGAAACGTAATTTTTAAAAATGCAGGGGACATAATGCTATAAGGGGCCACAACTGGGCACAATAAAAAAATATCAGTGAAAGTCGGCAGAAAATTGAACACGCACATTGTCAGGGGATTGGGTTTGGGAAATTTACACTCTGAATGACAAGAGGCGTCCCTGGCCATGTCAAGAACAAAATGGCAGTCTGAAATTTGTTGCATGATTGAAATGTTATGCCTTGGCTTTCGTCCGAGTATCGGTGAGCGTGTTCCCCATTCTACATTAGATATCGGGGACCATGTTCCCTATTCTACATTAGATGTCGGGGACCATGTTCCCCATTCTGCAGTAGATATCGGGGACCATGTTCCCCATTCTCCAGTAGATATCGGGGACCATGTTCCCTATTCTACATTAGATGTCGGGGACCATGTTCCCCATTCTGCAGTAGATATCGGGGACCATGTTCCCCATTCTGCAGTAGATATCGGGGACCATGTTCCCCATCTACCGTAGATATCGGGGAACTTATTCCCCATTCTGCAGTAGATATCGGGGACCATGTTCCCCATTCTACAGTAGATGTCGGGGACCATATTCCCCATTCTGCAGTAGATATCGGGGACCATGTTCCCCATTCTACAGTAGATATCGGGGACCATGTTCCCTATCTGCCGTAGATATCGGGGAACTTATTCCCCATTCTGCAGTAGATGTCGGGGACCATGTTCCCCATTCGTCTATTAGATATCAGGTATATGTGAATGTGAAGTTCATCTCACAGAAAAGCTGTTTTCATAAAATAAAATAAAAATTCCCAGCGAATTTTAATAGACAGCTAAGTTGTAAAATTGTGATTTTTATGAGTCAGGAACATAAAATTCCCTAAGAAATGAGAACCACTGAAAGTGTATAATAATGTTGCCAAAAATTGTTGTCGTTACCTCATGCTAGAAATATCCAGGCGATGCTGAGCGTTCGCCACAAGATAATATTCTTTGTGTATATTTAATAATAGTGTACATAGAATGTACATAGAATGCACATGCGTTTATATTCATGTATTGATGTATGCAAATATTTTAGACCACACCCGCATGCAATCATTACAGGTCTTATAGTGTGGTGCACATACACGAATTACCATGTTATGTTTATCATATCAGTCGTGTGAAGTTCATCTATTCTGCCAGTATTTAAAGTGTACATGTTGTTCTTGTGTACATGTCAGCAATTTTCTATCATCATCTATTTTACATGTACATGTATTGTGAATATATTATAATATAAAAAAAATGTTGAATCTGTTCTTATATTCTACATCCTCTTTATACGTACTGTGTGTTTTCTTTGGGTAAATGGAATCATCCTATGTACGCCTATTCATTGGTTACATGCAATCATGCGTATGCTCTTTTTGTACCGGCATGTGTATTAATTTCTGCTCTTGTTTGACCTCTGTTTAGGGTGTCTCAAAATGCTGACAAACATCATTTCCCACCCCGCTCTTTTCATTTCTGAGTTAGAAATAATTTTTTGAAGTTTAAATAAAGCAGTTTGTTATAAATAAACTATGAATTATAACAATAATGGCATGTCTGTATATCTGTTGTGATTTTCAGATCCAGTTTGTAACTTAAACATTTTTTTTTTAAATCATGGTTTATGATGTTATTTAGGCAATATTATTTTGAATGGCAGTTCTTTGTATGCATGATTAGAAGACTTTATCTTGAATGCTGGGTGGTCTAGACTCTTAGTGGACTGGCACACCACCAGCACCCTGGATGGATGGATGGAACTCATCAACCTCGGATTGCAACTCTTTTAAGAGAAGGCAAATATGAAAATTCCGACAACTCTTGCGATGTAGAAAGCATGAAGAGCACAGTGAAACTCAGACACAAAATACAGCTCAAGTCAAGGCTACTACTCAAGTCCAAAATTGCCTAGGTCATCTTCGCAAGCAAAGGATGAAAACTATAGGAGATTCAAATGATTATGGTTGAGCTTATATCATCAGTACAGAGAATGTAAACTATAAAAAAAAATATAGAAAAATTGTAAAGAACACTCCATAAAAACGAACACTCAAAGAAAACATTGAACACTCAAGGAAAACATTGAACACTGAAAGGAAAACATTGAACACTGAAAGGAAAACATTGAACACTCAAGGAAAACATTGAACACTCAAGGAAAACATTGAACACTCAAGGAAAACATTGAACACTCAAGGAAAACATTGAACACTCAAGGAAAACATTGAACACTCAACTCAAGGAAAACATTGAACACTCAAGGAAAACATTGAACACTCAAGGAAAACATTGAACACTCAACTCAAGGAAAACATTGAACACTCAAGGAAAACATTGAACACTCAAGGAAAACATTGAACATCCCAGAAGAGCAATGAATTCTCAATGAACACAAAGGACTTTTTAAAAAAATAAATGAACACTGCAAAAAAATTGAACAATTGAACTTTAATTGTACATGATACAGTATTTATACACTGATAAATAAATGATGGTTCTGAGCTGGTATGGTTAGCAGGAGAGTGTTAGCAGGTAAGTGTTAGTGTTAGCTGGGATGAATGAAAATGATGGGAATAGTTGGTGTAAGAGTACTTTTGTTTGTTACAGTGCTGGTCAGAGCCAGGGATAGCTGGTGTAAGAGTACTGTTGTTTGTTACAGAGCTGGTCAGAGTCAGGGATAGCTGGTATAAGAGTACTTTTGTTTGTTACAGAGATGGTCAGAGCCAGGAATAGCTGGTGTAAGAGTACTGTGCTTTGTTACAGAGCTGGTCAGAGCCAGGAATAGCTGGTGAAAGAGTACTTTTGTTTGTTACAGAGCTGTTCAGAGCCAGGAATAGCTGGTGTAAGAGTACTTTTGTTTGTTACAGAGCTGGTCAGAGCCAGGAATAGCTGG